ATTCCTTACATATAGAGCATTATCAGACCAATGGGAAAAGCATGTCTGTTGGTCCTTTATATGATTCCCTTGGCTTCTGGAGCAAGAGTTCCTCTGTCCCAGCCACTGCTTATCTAGAAGCGTCCAGGAGCTCCATCCCGTCCTCTGTGAAATTCCCCTGGATGTATCTCCTTCCTGAAAAACTCCGCACACATTTTCCAATTTAGCCTCATGGTTCACAGTGACGTCTGTTCTGGGGACACAGCCATTTGCACCAACAGGAATGTGTAGAGAAGTAACAAACTGCTTTCCCCTCCCTGGACTCTCACAGATGCTGCCACCTGGCAGGTATGCTGGTGATATCCATGTGTGGTGATTCACCCTCATTTGCCATTGCATTCAACCAAGAGTCTCTATTTCTGGCACCTATGACCTAAAGGAGATTTTCAAAGGACTAAGTGTGACTTACGGACTCATTAAGCATGCTGACGCATCTGCTGAGAGCTTATTGCCCTGAAAATGGTCATTTGTGGGTCTGATGTAACTGCTGCTCCTACCCTTGCCCAGGATGAGACTTGGGCCAGGGTGGCTGGAGCTGGTTTGTGAGAGTGGTGAACAGGGGCAGGAGCAACTTTCCACACTCTGCCTGACACACTGTGTGCTGCTGCATGTCCTGGAAGAAACCAGAAGGATCACCGCAGAAGCTCCGCTGTTCCCAGCAGTTCCTTCCTGTAAACAGTAGCCAAGCATTAGGACTGGATTGAAACATTCATTATACCTATGCAGGCAGGCCCAGACTTGAGAAAAATAGCTTGTCTTTGCTAGAGACAAGAAACAGCATATTTACTGCCTCTGAACCTTGGTCATCCTATATAACACTGCAATAAACTTTCTGGGTACTTGCACACATCATGAAAAAACCTCTCTTTGTGGAAATATGTTCTGAACAACTCTGCCTCTATCTTGTAAGAGACACTAGTTACATAGCAATAACTACGGTGGGTAGATTCCTATGTGTAAGTAAATTGCAGATTTACTCCAGATGAAATCACAAACACTCAATGGAAATAATGAGTCATTGCTAATTAGGCTGAGTGCCATGCATCTCATCCTTAAACAACTTTCTAAATAGCTAAATTGTGCCTGTTTCTTTCCCCTCAGAGCCCCAGGCACTGACATCATTCTGCCTGTATGCCGGGAAGAAAGACTTTTAATGTTTGATGTCCAGAAAAGATTTGCTTACTCAGTCTTTGCTTTGCAAATAAATGTTATTTGCTCTGTTTAATATTTACCAATGGACATTAACTTAATACTACCCAGCAAAATGAAGAATAGGCAAGAAGCACTTTGGAAGAGAGGCCCAGCACTGTAAGTAACATATTATACTCTCTTAGAAACCTGAATTCATGTTGTCTGTAATCTCTGCTATTTATTGCACAATATTTAATTCTGAGATCAATGTATTTTGTACAGTAATTGGAAATTATTTTAGCTTCAGGAAGCATGTTCTAAATGTTGGAAGCAGGATTTAGTCAGTGATCCAGCTCCTAGATATCATGCCAGGATGGCTGGGAGATGGGGTCCAAAATGAGTACTCAACAGTAAGTATCAAGGTGAAGAACAAAGCCTTGACTCTGCTCAAAGAGGAGTAAATTTAGTTGCGATCTCAATGTACTGACTCCTCCAGGCTGATGCAGGTCTAATGTGAGCAAAAGGCTGCGTGGTTCTGAGTTACTGGCTGGGCTTAAACCATGACAGTACCACATAAACATATCAGCAAAAGTTAGTCCCTCTGACAAAGTGCTTACCAAATACATGGGGGTCAATAGGTGAACACAGTCATGCACCCCAAGGCTCTTAGGAATGCAACGAGGCCACGCTGGTCAGAGGCAAGAACTATTTCAGTCATAATGCTTCGTGAAAGCCTAAACATGAATTCTTCACTGGTAATGCCACATTAATATCTTCCTTCTTTTTTTTATTGGTCAATATTGAAAGAACGGACTAGATATACTTTTCAGGAGGCCAAGTAGAAGAGTAATCCTAAGGACTGACATCTGAAAATCAGTATCTAGAATACAGAAATTATTTTTATGCAGGAAAGATAAAGATAAAATTCTCTAGATCTAAAAGTTGCTCTATTATTTCTTAACAGAACTATTCAGAAGGAAGATGAAGTCTGCATTGTATTTGTGTTTGTTGCTTCTTGCACTTCAAGTCCAGGGTCAATATATCTTCAACCTCAGTGACGAACAGCAAAACCAAAAAATACCCTATTCCCCACACCACTCCCAGGCTGAAGGTGAAAACTTGGCTCATGTGAAGATAGCCCCCAACAATGCTGACTTTGCATTTAGGTTTTACAAGCAGGCCAGAGAGGAGGCGGGCAACAAGAACATTTTCTTCTCTCCTTTGAGCATCTCCACTGCCTTTGCAATGCTCTCCCTGGGGGCCAGATCAAACACACTGAATCAACTGCACAAAGGCCTCGCCTTCAGCCTGACAGAGATGGAGGAGCCAGAGATCCATGAGGGATTTCATCATGTCCTCCAGCTGCTGAATGACCCTCACCGAGAAGTCCAGTTGAACATGGGCAATGCCGTGTTCATAAGCGACCAACTGAAATTACTCCAAAAATTTTTGGATGATGTCACATATTTTTATTATTCTGAAGCTATTTCTAGTAACTTCCAGAATTCTCTGGAGGCTATAAAGGAAATCAATAAGTACATAGAAACAAAAACTCGTGGGAAAATTGTTGATTTACTCAAGAATCTTGATTCAGACACTGTGGTGGTTCTGGTTAACTATATTTTCTTTAAAGGTGAGTGGCAAACGTGGGTAGCAGTTAAACACATAATCTCTGGATGTCTTATCGAGACCTAAGAAACATGACTATTTTCACACTGTAAACCTATGCTACATGTGTTTCCACTTATAGATGGTATAAGGAAAAATTTGAAAGCCAGGTATGAAGACTCATTTTCTATATAATTAAAAAGAAAAAAAGAATAATAATTTAAAAAAAAAAAGAGCCCATAGAAGTGCTGATCTATATCATACCAATTTTAAGCCAGGTTCAGAGCTGAAAACAATCAGAAAGGAAGAATGAGCTTGAGAATTTATGAGCATTTGTTGAAAGGCACAGGAGTTTAGCTGTGCAGGACATGGGCAAACAAAGATGACATTTATATGAAAGGAATAAGGCTGAAGCCTGTATAGTGGGAGTCTGTGGAAGTTTTACCATTGATTTACCAAGAAAAGGCTCAGGTCTTTTCCATGGCAACTCTCAGCCTATATTTTTCTTGTGTGATTTTTACTAGAGCCATTGGAATTACATAAAGCTTCTTTCCATGGCCAGGGAACAAGCATCCTTAAACAAGATAGGCTTTTTGCCTTTATATTTCAAATACTGTATTTTAAGCATCAGCTAATGTGACATGCTTTTATTAGTCCCTTTTTCAGTTTATTCAAGTCTATATTCATTCTTTCATCAAAAGGCTACTGGGAGAAACCTTTCAACAATTTGTACACCAGAGATGATGACTTCTTTCTGGATGCCAAGAATTCTGTTAAGGTCAAAATGATGCATCAAAACAAAGGCTTTAATATCCACAGGGATGAGAATTTGTCTTGTTGGGTAGTAGAAATCCCATACAAAGGAAATGCTACTTCATTGTTCATTCTGCCTGATGAAGGGACAATGCAGCAAGTGGAGGATGCGCTACTAAAAGAAACAGTGTATAACTGGATGCAATCACTTAAAAAAAGGTAATCTTTCAACTGCTGCTTTTTTAACATATTGAACAGGCTATAACTACTCATCCAGGCAAGGTACAGCTTAGGATGCCACAAGGAGTTGCTAAACACAATTCTGAGGAATAAGCACTGCATGGTTTCTTTAACTCAAACAAAGTATTGGATGATTTTGCACCTAGAGGTGACCCTCTCCTCAGCCTCCCCAGTCACAGCAGTGGAAGTGCTACCAGCTGTTAGGATGCCCAACCCAATACACAGGTGTCTTGCCCTTGGGAGCCTGTCTCGAGTAGGAAGAGTCCAGTTAAAAAGAAAATCAATTTCTTTCTAGTCTGGATGACACTTTCCAGCTAGTCACTTTCATAAACCAGCACTCTCTCCCTGCACCACTGATCAGACTGCAGCTGGTGGGACAGGTACCTCAATTTCTGCTTCTGTAACATAGAATTTATCACTGCCTTAGAAAGCCTAAGCTTTAGCTCCCTAGGTATTTGGAATGGGTGTGTAACTGCAACAGCTGGTGAAGGGACAGCACCAAAGGATCTTGCAATAATAAGCTGACTTTTTTGTTTATTTTTGAAAAGAAAAATCTACCTGGACCTTCCAAAATTTTCCATCTCCAGTGCCTATGATGTCAAGAGCCTGTTTGAGAAAATGGGTGTGACAGAGTTGTTCAGTGACCAGGCTGATCTCTCTGGAGTGGCAGAAAAAACTCTTCTGAAGGTTTCCAAAGTAAGTATGCAAACAGAGACAGTAATCAAGAGATTTATCTGCCTTGCTTACATGGGGGTTTTATCTCCACAAGTAGGCTAATCCCACTTCTGGAGTGTAGTCATGGCTTATTGATGACAATAAAAGAAGGAAAAGGTTAGGCATTAAATGGCTGTTGTTTCTACAGCTTAATCAATATTAAATTGTTTACTGCACAGCAGTCCTGCAAATTCACTTGAAAGTCTTTGAAGAAGAAAACAGATCTGGAAAGGAAAACAGAATAATTTCACAAAAAGATGGTGTAAAATAATTGATGCATGACAAGAGTCATAGCTATGGCATAAGGGTGGGAATAGTCATTCTTATCCTATGTATACAACTTTAATTACTGCATTATTATTGCCAGGTTGGATGGGGCTTTGAGCAACCTGATCTAGTGGAAGATATCCCAGACTGTGCCAGGAGGGTGGAACTAGATGATCTTTAAGGTCCCTTCCAACCCAAACCATTCTATGATTATTGAAACACCTTGGAATTTATATGGATAACAGACTTGTGGGTCAGGGGTAGCCTCATTTCACAAACAAGAAATGACAGATAAGCAAAGTGATTTTCCCGGTGTCCCTGGGAATATACGCCTTGTGTCATGAGGGAATTGAGCCTTCCCCTTTATTCCACAGTTGTGAAATCACCTCTGGAGTACTGCAAATCCAGTTTGGGGTTCCCTAACACAAGGGATATGTGGACATACTAAAGTTCAGCGAATGCAGTGGAGGGTGAGCAGGGTGGCTGTGTGGCTGGAGTGTGGGATATATGAGGACAGGCTGAGTGACCTGAAGTTGTTCAGCCTGGAGAAGGGAAGGTGAAGGAGGGTTCTTAGTGCTGGCTATATATACCTATGAGGAGAGTGTACAGAAGATGGACCCAGACTCTTCTTGCAGGTGCACAGTGATAGGATGAGAGACAACACACACACACGGTACAAAATGGGAAATTCTCATAGAATCATAGAATAATTAGAGTTGGAAAGGACCTTACGGTCATCTAGTTCCAACCTCCCTGCCATGGGCAGGGACACCTCGCACTAGAATATCATCAGATATATGTAAAAAAAAAAACAAACACATGAGGGTGATAAAAAAACTAGTATGGGTACTTAGAGAGGCTATGAATTCCATCTTTGGAAATACTCAAACCCTGACTGGGTAAGACCCTGAGTAACCTTACCTAGTGTCAGAGTTGATGCAGTGAAGGGTGGTTGGTTTCGTTGGATGACCTCTAGAGGTCCTTCCAACATACATTATTCAATGTTTTTGTGATTCCTCATCCTGAATAATACTTTATTGAATCTCTAAACACCTGGATTATAGATATAAGACAAGTAAAAAAAGGAAGGATAGAAGGACCTCAGGAGAGGAAATCTCAGATGCATTATTGACAATGAATTAAAACCATAAAGCGCAGACTAAAGACAATGAAATAAAATCATGTGAAATCAGAAATCCATATCTGCTATACCTGTAAAGCCAAATCATGTCAGTGGGCTCTGTTACAGAAAGGCACTTATAAAACTTGTCTCTATTGTGTCTTTGCAGGAAGAATTTTTTGCATATTTAGAAATTGATGCAATATGAAAACTTTTTCTTCTGTGTTAAATACTAAGGACAAAATCCTTATTCTGACAAACAACAGAACAATAAATATTATCTATGCTGCTAAGTCCCTGCAAGCATCCAAAATACCTTCTCGCAGTGTTAAAGCAAACAAGTTTGTCCCCAGCTGCTTCTGACTCTTCTGTACCTAGATTTTAACCTTTGTTTCTTTTGCAGGCAATTCACAAGGCCATGGTGGATGTTAGTGAGAATGGCACAGAGGCTGCTGCAGTGACCTTGATAGAAATGGTACCATTGTCTGCAGAGTTTCCTCCTCCTCCTCACATCAGGTTCAACAGGCCCTTCCTAATGATGATTATTGACAAAATCACCCACAGCATCCTTTTCATGGGGAAAATTGTGAATCCAGCTAAGGAAGACTAGGCCAGAGCACTTGTACCCCCCACTGCAGAAGAAGAGAGCTTGTGCACATCTCAGGGACTTCTTTGCAAAAAGGAACTGGAATTGATCCATAAATAACAAATAAATAGATACTACATGAAGTTATTCTTCACTTACAAACAGACAGTTGGGGAAAAGCATGTGTGGGGCATGTTTATAAATGACCCAGGCCAAACAGGCAGCAATGGGATCTTCAACAGACAAACATTTCCATACCTCACTCATCTCTGGTGCCACAGTCCCTTGCATGCAGATAAACCTTCCTCCTCCTGGCTGAGAAACTCCTTATGTCTTCCATTTTCTCCATATCAAGTCCTCAGTTCAGAAACCACAGATCTATCCCCTTCAGCTGAGAAATCATCTTTTCACTTCCTCTCATTCCACTGTGAATCTCAGAAGCGTCTTTTATTTCTGAAGTCCTCGCAGGGCTCAGTGGCTAAAAGAGGAAACAGAAACACAGACCTTTAGTCAACCTACTGACACACCTGTAACACAAAATATTTTCTCTATAGTCATTCCCTTGTCTCTAGATTCTAAAGAAAGAAAACCAGCAATGCTTGAAAAATGCTCCATGGAAAATCTTAGTCAGCTATACCCGTCTAACTCATTTTCCCTCTCAGGAAAATAAAATGAATTGTTTCAGCAGTGCTTGAAGGGGCAAACCTCAGCTGCTGGAGCTAAGCCAAAGGTTTCAGCCCTGCACAGAGCTGCCAAACTGCAAGTCTGTTTATCCACAACTATTAATACAGCTTGCACAGTCATTGCTCCCCTGCTTTTGGAGTGGTGGGGTTTAGGTAAGCAGTTAACTGTGCCCTATATGGGACATGTTAGAAGAAAGGCAAGAATGAGAGTAAATAGGAAACTCTTCACATTACATCATTTCTTCCCTCCCCATCTGTCCACTTCTGGAAAATGAAAATCAGGAACAATCCCAGTCTTTTTTATTAGTAGTAAGTATTAGATATCTGAAACAAAAACCTTTGTAAAAAAAATTATTTTCTTATCAGAACTGTGGGATTTTATTATGGGAAAAACTGCAAGTCCACTTGGTCCCCTATGGCTTAAAGTAGTTACTTGAGGGTGAAAAAATTACTTTGGCTAAGACGATAGTTCCAAGCTATGCTTTTGTATCTTCCTTACAACTGCAAATAAAAAACATTCAAAAAAGTCTTAAAAGGCAGGTCAGTGATTTCTCAAATAGGCGGTTAAGTTCAAAGACTTTCTTGAAGATTTATACGGGGTTTGGAAAGGGCCTTAAAATGTTGGAAGTGAGCAGGAGTGTTGAGCTGATTTGCTCAGCGATTTTAGCTCCATGGTGAAATTAGGGGGAGTATAGCAAGAACATGATGATTTAACAGAAAAAGTGAAAACTTAACAGATGTTCAGAAAGCCTGCCATAAAACTAAGGCAACACAGTGGCTCAAATGTAGATACCCTGAATTAGCTCTGTCTGAAACTGAAATTCTACCAATCAGAAAACATATCACCTTGGGCCAAGATAACACCAACAAACTGTAGAACCTTTGCATTTTTGGGAGCAACATGGAAAGAAGAGGGGTGGGAGAGTAAAATCTCTCTGAAGAGGACCCTTGGCCACACTTCAACATCCAGATGCTCCTCACACTTAAGACATACTGACCCGAGGGAGACAAAACTTGGAGCCAGCACATGGACTGGACTGCCAACGTGCTGTGCCCCTGTTTTATCAGGGGACAACTAGCTTTGACTTCATTCTCCACCAGCTAACTGCAGGCAGTTAGCCAAAAAACAAGGACATAGGTTTTGATCCTAGATGACTTCCCTTGTTAACAAAAACAGCAGCATCTCCCCCTACCATGAGGAATACTGGGCATGCAGAATCCGTAAGCACAACGAGGAGTTAAACTAGACTGCATTAACTCTACAATGTGTTACTTCCATTTTGCATAGCTTTCAACAGACACATCTCTGTCCCTTCCTTAATCACCTGTCTCTGCTACTTTTGGTGTCAAGGTCCTGTCTTGGAAAGTAGGCATTACTGAAGTGCTCAGAGACAGCTATGCTGCTGCTGGAGTCACAGGGAGCCTGACCTGGCACTGCCCACAGTCAGCCCTAAGTGAGGATGGAGATTACCTGAGCAGTGGTTATGTTTCATATTTCCAAACAGTATGACCTGGCGTCCAGCAAAACTAATGTTAACGAGCAGCAGTAGGGAGTGTTGTAGGCAACACACTGGCATATTTGAAAACCAACACATTGCATTTCAAAGTTACTATGAACTCTCTTAATTTCTCTGAAATGCACCTATTGAAATAATAACTATAAATAGCCACCAAATTAGAAAGTGTCAGAAATAAAACCCAACATGATTTGCCTTTGGCTAACATAAAATTGTGTATTAGAAATGTATTACAACATCCTGTTACATTGAAGTCTTCTTCTGGTTTAACTCTTTTCAAGTCTCCCTTTTCTGTGGGGTTACTGTAACTCTCAGTTTCCTTTACAACTGCCTTGAGAGGTCAGGAATGCATCTGGGGATCTCAGGTCCACGTGAGCTGAAGAAATTCACTAACACTGTGGAGAACTGTTACGTACTCAACTTCCTTGCTTAGAGAACCAGGCAGTGGGAACCCACTTGATAGCAGTTATTTCTAATAACACCTGAAGCTCTTTGTTGGTTGAGGAAGAATTCCTGATGAGCCTTTGGGAAAACAGCTAGGTTAGCCAATAGCTTTTATATGCACAGTCAAGTGGATTTTCTTGCCAGCTGTTTTTCCTTAAAGATGTGGCAGTGCAGGCAGTGCTGGGGCAGCTTGGAACAAAGGGGCACCATCAGGTTTTTGATCTTTTGAAACTGTAACCATTGCTGGCTCAGTTAATGTTTTCCATTAAATTTCTTAGTCCTCATTTGTATATCTGGGATTTTTTAGGCAAGTATATCACATTTACATTAAAATTTTGCATGCCTACATGCTGTGTGGAAGTCAATGGGAACTGTAGATACATATCAACTGCTGGTACTGCAGGTGGGATTGATTTTAGCATTTAAATATTCACAAGTTCAGTCTAATTCAGGAATACAGCCATTCTTTCCAAACCTCTGCAGGGTCTGTGGCACTCACTGCACACACAATGTCTTCACACTGCTCTTTGTTCAACTCTCATTCAAGAAGAAAGTGTCCCAACCTGAGCATTATCTGTTGTGTTCTGTGAGGGACAGTCTGCAACCCTGAACATTCACCTTAAGACCTAAACATAATCAGTAGCTGAAGTGTTGTGACTGTTCAGAAAGTGGTCAGCTGATCATGAAGCAGTTCACAGGGAAGACATAGGTCCTTCCCCAAAATAGTAGATGGCATTAGACCAAGCTTGACATGCTGGTTCCCCAAATGTCCCTTCTTCCCCACCTACAGCCCTACTGAGGCCCACATATGCACATGGGCGGGAATGGGAGAAAGCAGCATGAGGATTCATTCTCCCTGGCAGGATCAATTCTGAACAATTTGATTTCCCATCTTGCAGGCTGCTTGGTGTAAGGATTTTTGGTAGTCCATAAAGGTTGTAGGTGGGGGGTGAGTTGTCCTCTTGTAACTTTGAAATTAGTTGGATGACACCAACAATTCCAAACCAAAAAAAGGTATCTTTAATAAAAACTTTGAATGCCTGTCACCTTCCCACATAGGTCCCTATCTCTTGCATTCCCTGTGCTGTTACAGAAGGAAAGTAAATTAGATACAAGATAACATGATCCAGCTCTCTGGCTCATTCATTGACCCATATGTTCTAAGGGTTCAGGGGAAGAATTCTCAGCAGCACCAAGGAAACAGAGGGTTTATTAATTTCTATACACTTCTAAAAATGAGACAGTTTGACCTGGAACTGATCTGAAACACATGCAAGGGCCTCAGCGTAACAAAAGAAACAACTTACAAAAACAGTTTAGGAAAGTAGCTTTCCTAAAACTTCAGACTTAAAGAAAATCAGTTTCCGTTCATTTCTCATATTTGCCTTTCACCAGGAATATTACTAGCTAATAGAATTTTCAGAGCATCAAGTAATTATGGGTACTGCTTGGTGAACCCAGTCATCTGGTTCCAGGGTATATATGCCATTGCAGAAATCAGATTTCTGTGGTCAAAAAAAATTAAATAACTATCTAAACAGTGATTCATTGGGTATTTTCTGATTATTTATCGTTTGCTTCTTTTAGCTTCTTTTAGTTTCATTTTCCATTGTTTCTCTAAAGCCTCATGAAGAAAGAATTTTGTTATAAAATGAATGATCACGTTTGATTTTGCCTGATGGCAAAAGATCAGTTAAAGTCCAAACCAGGACCAAACTGAGTAAAAATTACAGTGAGTTTCATGAGCACAGGGTGGCTGCCTGCCTGAGAGGTGAAATCCCGTAGACAGGGTAAATCTCCTGTTGCTTATTTTACAGAAATGAAAATGAAAGAGGTATAGAAGACCCATTGGAATGAAATGCTATATAAATAGAGAAAAAAATTCACTGGAGTACAAATTTGTATCAGTTGTTATGTTTATATACACTTGAGGCCAGAACAGGCCAGAAACCTATGCCTTGGCAATACAAGTGTAGTCTAGTCTCTTCTTTTTCATACAATACTAAGAGAGCAATGTTTTCTCACTCTCCTTGGAAAAAGTCCTTTTGCCTCTAAAAGTCTGCTCCGCAAGGGAGGATGAGGCTTTCAACACTGTGAAGATGATTTTTGAATGAAACTTTTAAAGAAACATACTCCACATTACACTTCTACTGCAGTAATAATTACCTGCACTTGGACCCAGAGCCCCTCACTCCGAGGTCACCTTTACCTAAAGAAGCTCCTCTTCATGATACCTGTGCAATGGTGTGCTAACTGGTCAAAACATGCATGGAAGATCTGAGTAGCTGATCTGCAAATATTAAGGAACAAAGAGAGCCCTCACTGGTGTCACAACATGATGGAACAAACATATGGAAATTTTTTCCTGCTGGAGCTCAAG